AGTAAACCCAATTTAACCTAAGTTCGTATAACCATTTTAACCTTTTTATATATATAGTAAAACTTTACAATATTATTTTAATCTTATTAATTTATAATTTTTTATTATAATTAATCCGCGGTAACCTCGTTACTAAAATTACTATTACTACTCTCTTCCTCGTTTAACTTATTATTAAGTTATTTTCTATCCTCCTTTTAATATTCATCGTTTTATTTTATATATATTTAATTATCCTTAAAATACTTTACAATATTATAATTAATATACTAAATATAGCATTAATATTAAATATTAAGGAAAATTCGATTAATTGCCCTAATTAATTAAGTATCGTTATCGATTATAATTACCTTTAATTCTAAAATACTAAAATAATTAATAATCTTTTTAATTTATTCGATTAATTACTTAAATCCTTTATTCGTTTTATTATTAATAGCTACTTAAAAAATTGGCATCGAAATCTTTTCGGGTATTAATATAATACCTTATACAATTAATATATAATACCGGTTAATTTTATAAGTAATATCGAAAAAGAAGGTATATAAATAGCGCCGCTATATTTTCTATTATTTCGTTATTACTTAAAACGCATATTATAAAATAATAAACTTACAATCTTTATTATTATTATTTTCCTCCTTTAAATTATTATATTAATTAAATTTTATATAATAGACCGCGACCGACTTATTAATTTCGAATTAACGAACGAAGGCTTATATATTTTAATAACCCCCTCTTTTTATCCTTTTAAACCGTTACTATATATTATCTAGATTTTTATACATAAGGAAAATATAAAGGTATTTAATTTTAAATTAAATATAAGCTTTTTATACGGTTATTAATCGTTAGCCGAAGAAATTATAGAAATAATTCTAATATTCATTATTAAGAGAGTAAAACCGAAATATTATATAATTACTAAAATAACGAAATAAAGGATAACCCTTATAAATAAAATTTTTAACTCTAATAATATACTAATAATTATTCTTCTTTATAAATTAAAAAATAACCGAAAAAGGGCAATTTAACGTATACTTTCTAATCGAGGTTTTACATCTTTTATATAAATTTACCGGCGGGTTAGGCTTTTTACGGGTAAAATTATACTTTATAATAATACATTAAATAATAATTAATTTAATTAATTAAAAAGGATAATTCTTAAAGAATAAATCGCTATATTCGGTCGTAAAGTTAAAGCGGTAATAACAATATATTAAAATAAAATAAGTAAAAATATTATTAAAATTGGATTACGGTAATATATTAAATACAAGGTCATCGGTAAGTACCTCTTATTTAATATCGCTATCGAAGGATAAAGCGCTTACCTAAATAGCGGATAAAGCGTTCAAATCGATAAAGGAAGTAAAAGAGATAAACTCATTACGAGGGCGCAATTAAATAGAAGAGGGGGCGTTAATAAATATCTAACGTAATAATTAGCGATTGCGTTTAATCGAAGGGATTCGAATACGATTATAATTAATTAATTTAAATAAGGTTACGTACTTTAATAGTATTTTTAATATTAGGTATTATATAATATAATATAGTATAAGGAAATAGTATAGGGAAGTACTAATATAAGAAAGTATAAAATATTAAATTCGGGTTCGAAAAAAATTTGACCAAATTAGCGTAATATTTCAAGAATATTAGAATTATAAAATTTAGCGGGTAAAAACGGGGATTTCAATATTAGGTGTCATCCAGCTGGCTATCCCACTTTTCGGGTGGACCCCTGCTAAGAACTGGGTATTAGTAGGTTCGATTTAGAAAAATTGGGTGTAGGTAGGTTTTAGGTGGGTGCAAGTAAGTTTCCTCTTCAATAAGCAAGTTGATGTAGCATCTTGAAAGATAACGTTGTAACTAGTTGAATACAGCACGAACATTGAGAACGAAAGATTCTTTTTTTCAAACTATTTTTGTTTCTAGTAATTACGTCGGAGCTAGGAGGTGATGTAGGCGTAGGAAGTGCGTGTAGGTGTGTTACGTGATGGAGTTACACGTTGTTGGAATAAGATGGTGTTGAGAATGATTATGTTATTGATGATAAATCGAAGTTAGGAAGAAGACTTGAGTCCTCCTGGACTCGGTTTGAATACCGTGGGAACGGACTTGGATTTGCCGTATTTGCGGTACTCAAGTCCAGAGTCTACGGTAGGACCTGTGGCCCTGTCGGTTCCTAATAAGGTGGAACTATGGAGGGGTAATGTAAGTAATAAGATAAGGATAAGTTAAACCGGTTATCGATAGGCCTATCGCTTCAATGTGAATGGTTTAGATTAAATGCTAACTAATTTAGGGCTCTATTTTGAACGATATTCTAATTCCCTTCTCGATTTCATCCTCTTCCTCCTTCAATTATTTTCAATACGACAATATTAGATTGGGCTACTCTGCTTGAAATTCTTTTTTTTCACCTAATTTCGACTGGAGTTACCGTGAGCTATTTTTATCCAATTTCTAATCTACGATATTGCGCTCCTTTCGCATTTGCGGTCGGCGTCTCGGAGACCCGGACACGTTCTAGGGCTCTAAAGCCGAACGCCGAAGTTCCGGCTAACTTGTTTCAATTTATTAACAGCTATTACCGACGAGCAGCGACTTTATAACTTGAGTAGATTTTTATTGGGTAGGAAGTGTATACCCGGGAGTTGGCATTGTTTGATAGTGGCTAAATATAGCTCGAATAATTTACAGTATAGTGCATAGTAGCGAAAAAAACGGGGAAGCCTATATATACCTACCCAAAACCTATTAGAATGGGCAAGCTATATCTAGCTAATTAGGAAATATTTCTACAAGAAGATTAGCCTCCTAACTACTTATCTAATTGTAAAATTTTCCTATTACTCTAGCATCCCTAGACCTTTTTATAAAGGGCTCTAAATTATACAATATATATATATCTTCACCCTCAATTTAATTGTATAATTTGATAATTAATAATTTAATTCGCTCCCTACGTTTACGCTATATTTAAAAATAAAAGCTCTTTATTTATAATAATTAACTTTATTATTTAATTTATTATATCTTCTATTAATAACGTTTAGATTGCCTTTGTGGTTATAATTATATCCGTTAATAATAGAACGATTTTAAACGTAGGATTTAATTTTAGGGATTAGAATGAGGATTTATTTAATTTTATTTAAGGTTTTAAATTTAAATCCTATTTATTTAGAGAGGATAAGGAAATTATTAAACCATTTAAAATCGAATTCGAAAATTATAAATTTAAAGTTAATTCCCTTTATTATATTAATATTGCCCGCGAAGTATTTATTAAATTCGTTAATAAAATTATTATATATATTTTAATTTTGGGAAATAGTTGTATTACTAAATAGGTTATAACCTGCGATACCGCTTTGGTTATAATTTAAGTTTTGAATTTTGAAATTACCGATAAAGACGAGGAAGTTTGGGAAGAGGAAGTTAATATTTTAGTTTTTAATTTCATTATCATAATTAAATAAAATTATAATTCCGATAAGATTAATTATGTTCAACGTTTTAAAGATTACGAAAATTTGATTAAAAATAATATCTTAATTCGAAATTATATAGAAATTATTATTTTAAAGGTTTTGCGCGTTTTGATTACATAGGCGATATTTATATAATTCTATAATAGTATATTAATTTTAAGGATATTATATTTTATTACGAAGAATATTTTTTATTTAAAATACGTTAAAAATATTACGATTATATAAAACTTTTATTGAGCGAGCCCTATAAACGTAATAGTAGTTTCTAAATTTAAATTAATAGTTGGGGAACCGTTATAATTAATTCCCGGAAGTAAAAAATCTTTAAAATTATATTAGCTATAATTTGGTTTTAAAATATTTATAATATTTTATAAATTATTAAACCCCTTTAGGTTTATATTATTATTAAGAAGTTCGAGGAAGAGGCGTACGCTAATATTTTAAGTTTTTATTTTATATCCGGATATTTCCGCTTTAAAATAATATACGAATACCCCTTTATTATAATTCTATTATTAAAGGGTTATAAAATATATTTAATATAGGATTAATTTTTAGAGGCTTATAGGAAAATAATATTAAGGGCGAAAATATTCATCTTAATAGGGTCTTAATTAATAACTAAAATTCTACTTAAATAAATTAAAATTTCATTTTTACTTTTTAATATATTAATAATAATAATACGTTTTAAAAGAGAAGGTATAGTGCTTTTAAAGCGTATAAAGGCGCGTTAGGTCGAAAGACCGCCCTTTTAACCTTATTTATTAATTTTATAGTAAAAATTTTAAAAATTCGTTATAAAATATATTAATAGGGTATTTATATTATTAAATATTATGAGTATTTATTCTTAAAGACAGTTATTAACCCGAAATATAAGTTTATTTTTTAAATTAAAGTTAGAGTTATTAAAAATTTATTCGACGATAAAGACTTTAAAAGGAAGATTAATAAATTATAATAAGAAATTATTTAAACTTTAAATTCTAATTTTAATAATACTTTTATCGGTAATAACTACTCTATTTAATTTTTTAACGAGAGTTTGCTAATAATATTAGTCTATATAACAATTACATATTAAGTTGCTTTCTAAGTAGAAAATAAGTGTATAAATTTATACCCTTTTAAAGATTGCGTAATTTTCGATTTAGGGAATTTTTTATATATTTTTAATTAAATTTGTTATAGGGCTAGCGCCCTGGGTATTAAATAAGCTAATGCCCAATCGTTCCCTAGGGTGCCTACGTACCTTAGGCCTATTTACGCCCTAGTTTGTATTTTAGTCCTCAAAACCTTTACCCAACTACGCCCTTTTAGCGCAGCTTTTCTTCTTCCTTTTCTCCTTCGTTAAATATAGCATATTCAACCTATAACGACTGCTCGCTATTGTAAAGTTATAGGTTAACGGGGTAAATAAGCGTGACGCTCGAGGTTCCAAGGCTATTAAGGTTCGGAACTGCTAAATCTTTTGGTTTATTGGCGGAGTGGTATCGAGCTCTACTCTCATAATTATTCCGAACCTTATTAGCTATATTAATTGTTCGCGAAGTCGTAGGTTCGATTCCCGCTCGGGGTACTTTCAAAAAAAGTATCCGCGAGGGCTTAGGCTCGAAAATTCCCATTCGGAAAACCTTCGTTAGCGGTTATAAGGGGTATAATATAGTGGCGGCAGCGGCCGTTAGAACCGAAGAAGGCTTGGTCCGGCCTTAATCCGTTATATAACTTTGGGGGTTTAAGCGCTTAATCCGCTATAAATAGTTTAATTATCCAAAAATTCCTTAGGCGTTTAATTCGAAGACGAATTCTTTAGGAGGGGGGATAATTATAAGGTTATAAATTAATAGGGTAAATAAACGTAACGTTCGAGGTTCCGAGGCTAATAAGGTTCGGAATTACTAGATCTTTTAATTTATTAACGGAATGGTATCGAGCGCTACTCTTATAATTAATTGTAAGGGTATCGCTAGGAAGGCTTAAAGGGACCCGCACAATTAGGGTATAATAGCCTAGGACGACGGATAAAATAGCGGATAAGATAAAGATAATAGGATATAATATAGAAGAAAGGATTTCGGAATCCGGGCGCCGACCGTTCCGGACCTATGAAGAAATATATAAATATAAAAAAGGATAACTCTTAATTAAAAACTTATATTTAACCAAATTAAAATTTTCCTTTTCAAATAAACCTATTTTATATAATTTATTTTTACCCTTTTATATTTATAATTTTATAATTCTTTAACCTTTATAATTCCGTTAATAAAGGCTATAACTATAATTAATATCCGTAAGGAAAGTTCGCGTAGAAAAGGTATTATTAACTTTCGTTATAAAAATAATATAAATTTAATATAAAAAATATATAATTACTTATATATTACTAATAATATAATTAAAAATTTTATTAATAAAGGGGTTACCAATAAATACGGAGAAAACGATCGCGAAGCGGCGTCCTACGAACCCGAATATAATACCGCCCGAAAAAATCCCGGCGATAAATATAATAATATTAACGATAATAAGCCGTAACCCGAATTTATACCGCGTAAAAAGTCCGAAGGTAATTTTAAATAAAAAATTTAAATACGGATTAAAGAACGGTATTTAATAAAAAATTTATATACTTTTAATCGCTATTATTCTAAGAGCTTTTATTAATAAAAGGAATATTATATTAATAAGGCGGAATAATAATTATAATTAAAATTTCGTCGAAGTAAAAACCCTTTAAAATTCGATTAGTGTAATTATTCCCTATTTATACGTAACCGTTTATTAAACGAATATTCCTAATTTCGCTTTCGTTTTTATTTTTAGTCCCGTTTTTAATTTTATACTTATTCCTATTCCCGAACCCGCTCCTATTCCCCGTCCGCTTAATTTAATTAATTTAACCGTTTTAATAATTTTTCCCCCGCGTAAGAATATTATAAATAACGAATATCCTACGAATATAAGCGCGTAAAACGGCGCAAATATTAAAAATTTGTAAAAATAATATTATAATTCTTATAAATATTATTATAATTTATATAAAAAATTACGGACTAAAGAAATAAAGAATCCTATTTACGTCCCCCTACGTATAACGTTCGTAAATTAATAATGAATAATACGAATACCGAAATCGAAGATTAAATTAATAATCTCGAAAATAATAATTAAATTTATAAAAGTATTAATACCTATTAATTTATTTATTAAACTATAACGGGGAAGTACAGTTAATATACGTACTAATCGTTATAATTATATTAAAGTTCTATAAAGGAGGAAAACTCTAATTATAAGGCGGACTTATTAGCGGCGAAATTTTAAAGCGGGAGGGCAGAGTATATACCGCTACGCTAAGGCGTCGAAGCGGGGCGTATAGTTATATTCTAATCGTTATAATTAAAGCTTTATACCCGGGCGGTAGCCTTATAATATTACCCCCTTCCTCCCTTCTCGAAGACGTACCTTCTATCTAAACGCGCTTTCCTCCTAATCGTCACCCACCCCGCCAAGCAACAATACACAAATTTACGTACAAAAACCCTTCCTCTTAGAAAAATTTTCTCCCTTCCTTTCTCTTCCTTTTTAATTATTATAATAATTATTAAAATAAATTCGTTTAACGTTAATTCCTCCCTCCTTAATCCGATTTAATTAACCTATTAAATACTTTATTTATTTATTATTCCGCCTTCCTCTTCCTTATACGACGCTCCTTTCCTTCCTACGTTTATTCTTACGCCCAAACCCTCTATCGAATTTAAAGAGTTCGAAATTCCTAATGAGAAAAAGAAAATAGGGCCCCGCCTTATTAAATTCGACCCCCCGCTAATATTTTTAAAAGGTTTAATTAATACGTTTAAAAATAAACGTTTATATTAATTTATAAATTTCTTTATTATTATTTCCGTTTTTAATATTTCGTTAATTCTTTTCTTATAGGTTAATTATATTAAATTAGAAATATAATATATTTTTTATTTAAATAAACGTTACGAATATATTATTAAATTTAAATATATATTTTATATAACGTATTATAACGATAGTAAAAAGTACGACCGTACTAATAGTTTTATTTTTACTTTAATAAAAATTTAGGAAGCGGCGCTATTCGGGAAGTAAAATTATAAAGCCTTCGGGTATATTTATTATACAATCGGTATTATATATAATGTAATTAAATTATTAAAGGATTAGGTTATTATTAAATTAATTATTTCGTAGAAGAAAACGCTCTAAAAAAAAATAAAAAAATATTATTAATTATTATTCTTTTTAGGGAGTAGTATAATAATATTATCGCTACCGGTATTCCCTAGGCCGTATCCTAGCCTAAATCTACTACCCTTATTACTTCCGCTACTCCTTCTATTCCTATTACCCTTATAAGCGAAATAATATTTATTAATATTATAAAGTCGTTAATCGCCCAATTTAATAAATTAGAAAAGGAAGTTTAAGCGTTAAAGGAGGCGTTTATACGCCGTAAGAAGAAGCCCCGCCGTAAAAAGTAAAAAAATTGAAAATTAAAATCGATATTCTAATATTCTTTAATTATATTAGTTTCCTCTTTTTCTTCTTATATTACGTAATAAAATAGTCGGTAGGATTGTCGTTTTCGGTTATTAGGCCGTACTTTTTTTTAAAGGCGTTTAAAGCGGTAATATTAATTAATTTTTTTAGAGGCTTTTATATTTAATTAACTTACCTTTATTAATTAACTAATAATATACGGCTTAAATTTTAAATTTTAATATAAAGGATTTCGTTTATTAAATATTCCTTCTTATTATCGATTATAATAATAGGTAATTATAAATCGGTAATTATTTAGCCCGGTAAAGGGTCGTTTTTAGCGCGTTATAAAAGGTCGATATAAAATTTATTAAATACCCGCAACGAAAGGTCGGAGAATTTTATAACGAAGGGGTTAAATATTCGAAATATTATATATTTAACGTATAATTAATTTAATTTCTTTTTAGGGTAGATTATTATAAAGTCTTTAAAATTAAATTAAATTTTATTTCTAATTTTAAAGATTTTAATAAGTAAATATTTTCTATTAGCGAACTATTTTTATTTTTACGTTAATACCACTATTGTAACTTAATAAAAATCCGTAATTTATTACAATTAGTTTACGAAATTCTATATTCTCTTTAAAGGATTTTTAGAATTTATTTCGGCGGGAAGGGAGAGTATAGAAATTAGGGATTATAAGTAATAATTATAAGTAATATAAAAGGGGGATATATTAATAATTATATTAATTTTATTATTAATCGCTAATTATATAATAGGATATTAATAGTCCTAATCGTTTTAAATATTATTAATAAAAACGCAAAGGAATATTTATACCTTCTAATTTATTCTTTTTAAATTATTATCGGTTTAAGGGTAGAAAATAATATTTAGTAATTAATTAATATTTAATAAATTATATAAACGCTTTTAAAAGTAATTAATCTAATTAGTATTACAATTATTTATAATAAAATTAAATTAATTATAATAATAGATAAAATAACGGAAGAAAATTTTTACAATAACCTCCGCTTCTATAAAGGGGAAGGGCTCTAAAATTACCGACTTACTAAGCCGGTCTTTAATAATTAATAAATTAACGTAACCGTTAATAAGGAGAAAGTCCGTAATAAAATCTATTTAAATTTTTTTAAAGAATTACTTTAAAATAAGGAGCGGCTTTAATAACCCTTTCTTTTAATTTTTCTAATATTTAACCCGGCTATAAATATTATAATTAATAATAAAACGGCGGATATAAATACCTATTAACGGCTAATAAAAATCTTTATTAATAATATAAATAGTACCTTCTCTTCCTAAATAACCGAAGGTAATAGAATTGTAAACTTCTTAAATAAAACGGGTATATAATATATTCTTTTTAAAATCTTCTAGGGATAGGTAAAGAATTATTACTTTTAAAAAAATAGGAATTCTAAGGACCTAAATATAATTTCTATAATAAAACTTATTTATACCGTCGATTTTATATTCGCTTAATTATACTTTTAACCCTTATATTAATATAAAAAGGGCTTTATCTTTATTAATAATAATTTAGCGGATTATTTAGTAAATTTCGTCGTTTTGGGCGGCTCGGTCGAAAAATTATTATAAATCCGGATTTTTAAATACTTTTACGCTTTCCCCCGTAGAGAGGACGGTAGGCGCTATACGGACGTAATTCTTTAAAATGGACTCCGGGATTAATTATATATTTTCGGCTTCGGTATTGGCCTTATTAAATTAATTTTAATTTTTATAGGATAAGGCGTCCGGTATTACGGTAAGAGTATTAAAGCGGTAAATAATTTAAAGGTTAAATTAGGAAAGGAATTTAATTTAGCGAACTTACTACTTTAAAAAGTATTAGCGTTTTATAAAATATTCGAAGTTACGATAATCCGTTATTATTATAAATTTTTCGTAATTATGTAATTTTATAAATTATTCTTTTAAATAACGGATAATAAAGAATATTTTTTTATTATAGATAGGGTAATTATATTTTACGGGGGTAAATTTTTAGAAATGGAAATT